GGCCAAGTGGGACAAAGTACTGGGCTATCTAGAGGTGTTGAGCAAGGCCTGGATGGAGGAGCGCCAGGCAAGCTGGAGCCAGGATGTAGCGTTGACTGCCATGCGGTCTGGGTTCAGGGATTTTGCGCGCGAAATCGTCACACATATTGGGGGTGAAGTCAAGCAATTGAGAGACAACGTAGGGAAGTTTTGTGAGGGCGCCATTCAGGGTGCCAAAGCTGCAGCCGCTGTAGAAGGAGAGGCCAGACCCCGTAAGGACCCAGTGAAACTTAAGTTCCCATACGCGTACGGGGGGAAGAAGGACGAGACCTTTGACAACTGGGAGGCTAGTGTCAATAGTTACATTTATTTACAACATATCCTGATGGAGGAGCAAGTCCTCGTGGCCCTCCAGGCCCTGAAGGACGAAGCGGCTAGCTTTGCCAGGTCTCTCGCGCGTACAGCCGGTTGTGAAAACAACCTGGTTGCATATTCCAAAGTCACTCCTCTTTCCCTATTCCTCAAGCTTCTCAAGCGGTTCGCTGACCCAACGCGAGGCATTAGAGCCTCTGATAAGCTCCAAACGATCCACTCCCGGCAGTGGAGGAGTGCCAAGGCACTCAAGGTTACCATGGACGACTTGGTAGCCGTCCCGGACCACGGGGTCAGCTGGTCCAGTTGTTTTATCGTGCCATTCCAGAGGCCCTACGCGGGCATTTCTTTGACAAATCTCAGCAGGCCGGCATGACTTACGATGTATTGAGTAGAGAAGTCGTCCTGTATGAGTCGATGTCTATGCCAGTTACCACTTTCTGGCATAAGGACCTGGAGAAGGGGAAAAAGTGGAAAGATCGTACCATCTCGGGCCAAGTCAAGGCCAAGGATCACTTGATCCTGACATTAGAGGAGGGTGGTACAGAAGAGGTCCCATATGATCAGATTGAGTGGGGCTTAGGGGAGGAGTACAGTTGTGTAGGGCAGGCGAGGTCTTACGCTGCTGTCGCGGCCGGAGGGAGGCCGCAAGGTAGAGGAGGAGGCCAGGGCCAAAGGGGCCAGGCCATGGGAGGTCGAGGACCGGGCGCACAGGGTGTTGGCGGACAGGGAAACCGCCAAGCGGGAGGTAGGGGTCAAGATCCCCCGTTAAATCGCCAGGGTAACCGGTCCCCACAACGAGGAGGTGGAAGGGCACCTCAAKGAGGATGGCATCCAGGCTTGCCGCAGGGTAGGCCCTGGGAAGACTTGGGCTTCGACGGACAATTATGGCAGGAACGTGTGAACATGGGTCAGTGCGTATTCTGTGGTGACCCGGCCCACGTTATCAAATTTTGTCCAAAGTATAGACAGGCCCGTTGGGCTGCGCAACATTCAAAAGGCAGCCGCCAGTAGGGGTCGCAACTGCCCCTACTTCAAGGCCATGTGGAGAAGTGAGCGCGCGCGAACAGGACACTCCCAACCCACATGAGCCTATGGCAGAGGTTGCAGGCCCGTGCCTAGATAGTTGTCGAGAGAC